GCAAATTAGATGTGCACTCGTAAAGGGCTTGAGGCAAACTGTGGTGTCGGCTGGGAGTGTGGGGACCTAGCCACTGGGTCCCTTGCCCCCGCCGAGCGGGGTGCAGGTGCCCTGGTGGTTTTCTCCCCCCCTCTCTCCCGTCTTAGTCTTCTGCGCCGAGATGTTTCTAATCTAATCTAATCTAATCCTACAGTGAGCGGCTTGAATAAGGAACCCTTCCTTTTCAAACGGGGCTCGGTCGTTCTCTGGGTTGGCATTTGTGATTTACCGTTCCTCATGCGTTATTTCTTAGGAGTCGTCCCTTATGCGTTACCCCTTGGAAAAAAAGGGCTTCCTTCTTCATTGATCGCTCCCTAGGTCAGGCCGCTGACTGCAGTGCTCCTCGTCTCCTCGAGACGCACTTGCGCCTCAGGGGGTCGCCCTGGCCGGATCTCGGGCGTGCCCCCGCTCGAGCGTCGAGCGGTCCCGCCGAGGGTCTGGGCCGGGCGACCCTCGGGGACTTGCCCCCGCCCCGCGGGGGCTGCCAGACCCAACCTCCCGCGCCGGCCGGCGCCGAGGATCGGGCCGGACGAACGGGGGGGGGGGGATTGGTCGGGGGTGGACAGCACCCCCAACAGTGACACGTCGATTAGTGAATTGTCCGTTTTCGGTTCTCGAGAGGGCGCCGTGGCCGTCATTTTCCTGGCTTGCGCCCGCCAGGTTTGGGCCTCAGGTCGTTTTCACTAAACAACGTTTTACTAAAGGGGGGTCTGTCCATCCCCGAATTGGGAAAGGGGGGGTTACGAAATCTGCTGCATGCAGCTGGTTTCGGCCCCACCGAGGGGCCCATCCCTCGATACATGGCCGCCTCCGGCGCTGGGAGGCGCCGTGAAAATCAGCTACGTGAGCTGATTCTCAACCCCCCCTTTGCTATCCCCCCCTTTCGCCCGGCCCGAGAGGACTTTTGAGCGGCCTCGGGCAGCCCTGGAGGCCAACGGCACGTGATCGTTTTTTTTCTTCATTGTTCTTGCCGATCGGCGCGGGCCCTCGCACCTCCCCACCCATTGGAGTAGATCTTGAATGTTTTTGGCGCCTGTTGGATCTCCTTCGGGGGTCATCCGTAAACATTGGAACGATACAGAGAGGAGTAGCATGGCCCCTGCGCAAGGATGACACGCACACATCGAGAAGTGCATCCCCCCCTTGTGTTAAATAAAGCTTCGCACGGCCCGCTTAGCTTCGACCGGAAGAGGTGCGCTCTCGACCCGCGAATCAAACAAGTTTTTGGCGCCTGCTTCGAGCAGGTGGAGTCTCCCTCGTAGGACGCCCTGTCGCAAGCAGTGGCATTAAGCAGAGGTTTGGAGCCAGACCCCCGCCCTCCCCCCCCCCTTCCCGCCCAATGTCGAAACGCCGAGTGAGGAAACGTTCAGCACTCCAGGGTAACCGACGCAGGCCCTCCTGGGGCCCCCGAGTGAACAAAAATCACCCACATGTAGCGCAAACTATTTTTTGTTAGGGACGGGCGTGTTGAAGCTGACGGGCAGTGGCCTGCCCTTAGTGGGCGTGTCTTTGATCCAAAGCAGTCCGAAACGGCATCAAACATCCCCCAAACAAGTCAGCATGACTGCAGGAAGACCTCGAGATAACCCCCCGAAGAGCGCTGAGACAGTCGCAAAACGGCCGAATCGAACCCTCGGATGAATGTCACAGTCGAGTGAGTTCTACAATTGACATCGGCCACTCGTGCATTGCGTTTCCCGAAACAACTGGGGTGCGGTGATTTGCCAAATGTACCGCCGATTTGCTTCCTCCTGCTCTTCATCGTCGTTGTCCTCCTCACCATTCATTCCTCCGTGCCCTCCCTCCGCATTCTCATCATCCCTATTCTTTTATGTTCGTCCTCCTGCACCTTCTCGCTCCTCCATGCTCCCCCTTGCCTTCTCATCGTTTCCGAGAGGTCACTAGTGTGTGTCTGAACGAGGCCTTGCATGGATATAGATGTAATTTCCCAGGGCCACACATCAGTTTGTTCGTCAGACCCTGAGGTTTCGATTTTTGTGTGCCCGAGCCGGCTCCGTAGCGTCCGTGGGGAAGACCATAATGCGTCCATATTTTCTTAAACATGACCCTAGGGCGCCATCGACCTCCTACGGCATACGGTTGTTCTTCCGCGCGATACCTTGGCGTTCAATCGAGCTAGACCTTGAGCGCGTGCGAAGCGCTGCGCGATAATCATTCCGATGCCACATGTGCGGCAGCAGGAGCTGCATGATGGCCATGCAGGCAACCACGAAGAGCACGGCACGCGTGCAAAGCATGCACACGTTCTGGGCACCGTTTGGGGCTCGCTCTGGGCACCGCGCGGGGCGCCGCGCCTGTCCTTGGGGCCGCCCTGTGAGGACTGGAGGCCCCGCGGGCCCTCGCCGGCACGGCCAGCACGGCCGCCGGCCAAGGCGCCCCACCCGCGCGCGCCCGCAGGATCGTCTACGGCGGCGCGGCGCCGCCGCAGGCGCCGCCGCAGGCGCCGCCCCAGGCGCGCCCCGCCCGAGCCGCCGGCCGCGTGCCCGCGCGCGGGGGGCGCCCTGGGGACCGACGCCGCGCTTCGACGCCTCGATCAGGAGCTTTCGGTCCCCCCCGGGGGCGCGAAGGGCGATCGCGCTTCGCGCGCCGCGATCCGGGGCAGACCGGCCGCCCTTCTCAAAGAGGGCGCGGCGCGAGGGCGTGACGACGCGAAGGCTGCAGCGCCTCGGGGGGTGCGGTGCGCGAAGCCAGGTGGCCCGCGGGGTTCACGAAGGCGCTCGTGCGGGGCCGGTCTCGCCGAGGGCTTCGCGAGGGCGCCCCGTGCCGCCCCAGACGAGCGGTCGTCCATGTTCTGGCTCTTGTCTGAAGTCGGGCCTCTCCCCCGGCAGGGGGATTCTCGACGAAACATAAAAGATACCCCCAGCATAGTCAAAAAATAGTCCAAAAATAGTCTGGGGACTATTTTTGGAATATTTTTTGACCTTTTTGGGGCATTTTTGGGGTATTTTTTGTTTTTCGTGGACAATCCCCCTGTAGGGGGACACGCCCGACATAAGACAAGCGGACGTCCATGTTCTGGCTCTTGTCTCTTCAGTCTCTCTGTTCCTGGGTCACTTCCTCGATTTGCCCGCCAGCCTTCCGTCTCACGATTCTGCGACTGGTCTCGAGCTCTACCAAGCGGGTCCAATCTCTACGGTGGGGAATCGGACACCCCTGCTGGGGTTCACTTGGCTCGAGGCATCCGTCGACTTCTGAACCCCAGCCAGTTTCACACATCTGACATGCAGGGGGTATGGCTCACATGTGGTTGCCCAACAGCACGATGCCGGCCTCGCGGCGGTGAGATGGGATCACTCGGTTGTCCAATTCTGAGCAGAGCAGAGTCTCAAGACGGCAGCTCTGGCCATCCGCTCGAGACCGATCTCAGAGCCCCTCCTGGGCACCGTCCTGACCCGATCTTCTTCGAGCCACGCCCGGGTGTGGCGACGAGCCCCCTGTTGTCCCGGAGGCCCAGAAGTTCAAGGACGGTGAGGAAGAGTGGGGTGATGTCGCTGGAGGTCTAGTGGGAGAAGGGCCTTCGAGCCTAAGGGGATTGACTCTGGGGCGGAGCTTCACTTTCGAGTGCTCTTCTGTTCGTTGCCGTCATTCCCCTCTGCTTCTCTCCTCTTTCTCCTCCCCCCCCAAAAAAAAGGTCCACACACTTGACCCAGCCAGCTTCTACGCTGAGTACATGGAGCCCAATGGCATCGTGGGCCTACGTCAAAAGAAGTGCCGAATCTCGCCACGCATCACTCCAAAGCCATCCACACGCCCTGAGCGCGCTGTGTCCGCACGGGTTCAACACCATGCCAGAAGCCGTACCAGCAATCGGAGTCACCTGCGAGGACGAGGCCAACGTCGGACACATGCTCATGCCCGTCTGCCGGAGTGGCACAGCCCAGGAGTGCAGTGCGGACCCCGCGCTGGACCAGGAGCGGGTCTCAAACCAGGAGACGTGCCAAGACCACGCCGCGCGAGTTGTGCGCTGCACATTCTGTTCGGCACCGCCCTTGCGCGGTCAGCGTCAAACCGACACTTTTTGTGGCGGCCGACCGCGTTGCCAGAGTGTCCTGCTGCAGGGGTCGTTTGGCCGTCCGCGCCAGGGAGCCCAGCTCCGCAAACTGAGACGCTTGGGCATGGGCCAGCACCTCGCGCTGGCAACAAGCATCGCAGTTCGGCTACCGTCAAGGCCGGCCAGACCCCAGAGGGGCCCACCGCGTGAGACGCCGAACCTCGAGGCGGACGCGCACCGCTGGTCATCGCGGGCGCGCGGTCGCTCCGGACTGGGCGCTGGCGCAGCTGATGGAACCGCTGGACGGAGGGTACGACAGTGTCATCAACGAGGACTTCGGCTTCTTCGACTTCGACGCGTCCGCTCGAGGAGGCGGCTGCCGCCGGCGAAGTCGCAGGCGCAGACCGGCAGGCTGGGCCAGACCGCACGGATGGATGAAGACGGGTGGCACGCGATCGACGGCAAGGAGAGCAAGGGAGGAGCGACGTGCCGGGAGAAGCGACGTGCCGTGAGCATGTCGGAACCTAAACGCTGTTTTGCTGGATGTCGGTTGTGCTTTTTTTATTTTTTTGTTTTGGCGGGGAGGTGCAGGAAAGCAGGCAGAGCAAAGCGAAACATACAAAACGACAACGCCCATGTATTTTACGTATGCCCCTATCGACTGCCCCTCTCTTGGGGCTCGAATCCTTCATGTTTTACACATGACCCATCTGTTGCCTCTCGACTGGGTCTTGAGTTCTTAGTGTTTTCGGGACGGTCTAATAGATTGACCCCCTCCTGGGGTTCGAACCCTTCGAGTTTCGAATCCCCACCGCTCCCCAATTTCTCACTGTTTTTGATGTGTCGTGCGAGCTGAAAGCGGGAAAGTGCCTCGGGAGAGTTGCTGGCGCCACCTCCTTGGGCGGGAGATCTGCGTGTGGGAAGATCGGCCCCCGTTGTCATGTGGCTCCCCCCAAGGGGGTGGCATCTCGATGGGTACACGTGGAATGTAGAAGCACGGCGCACGCGGGTAAAGTGATTGTTGCTGTTTCCCCTCTGGAAGCGGGGCCAGATTTGTGGACCTGCGGCCTTGCGGGCCTACTGGAGTCGAGCCTTGAGTAACGCTGGGCCCGAGCCTCTCCGCGGCTTGAGGCCGAGCGCCTGGCGGAGCCCTTGAGCGGCGCGGCCGAGTCCGTCGCCGCCGCAGTGGAGCCCGTCGCGGCGGAGGCGCCCTCCGGAGCACCCCCCCCCGCCTCGTGTCCGCGCTTCGCGTGGCGTCCGACGCCGCGGGCCTGCGACCGTTTCGGTACCTCAGCCCTGCTGGCCCAGTCGGCGCTGGGTTGCCGGACCGTCCTATTCGCCGTGGGGGAAGCGGGTCCCGAGGGAAACGGATCCTGAGGTTCTTCGCCCTCTTCGGGCTCTCGGGGCCCTCCACGGGCCCGGCAACGACTCAGGATGAAGATTCCGTCCTGGGGGAACGCACCAGGGTCCAGGACTTGCTTCCCTCGGGACCCGTTTCCCCCATGTCACCCTGTCAGGGTTCTTTTGGTTGCAGGCGTCTTTGACTCACCATATCTTCGCCAGCGTGGCCGGATTTTGACCTGCAGGGTTCGGGCTCCCATGTGATTGCCCAGCAGGAGGGCTCCGAGGTCTGGGCGTCGCACCTCCACGCCCCGTGTTCTCGACCAGCTTCAGGCCCTCGGGAGCCCTTCATGGGTCGATCTGGCCTGGGAGCCTCCGCAGAACGGTGGGCTCGTGGTGCATGGCGCCCCGTTCGACGCCGCAGGAGGGTCCTCTTGCTGCGCCTCGGGTGTTGCCGACGGTGCCTCTGGCCCAGGTTGTCCCCAGGATTACCCTGGGATGCCGAACTGGTTTTCAGAGCGCCTCTGACGAGGAGGAGGAGGAGGAGGAGGAGGAGGAGGAGGAGGAGGAAGAGGAGGAGGAGGCCAAGGGGACGTGGGACCCAGGGGTTCAAAGATGGTGAGGGCACCTTGGCCCAGCAACACCTTTCTGGCAGTCCCCGGTTGCCGTGCGCTTCCGTCCGGTCGCGGGGCCCATTGGGGCCCTCGCGGAGCGACCCGGCTCCAGGAAGGCCGGCTGTGACTGATCACGAGCGACGTCGGATTTCCGGGGAGTAAAGGGCGTACAGTGCCGTTTCTTATACATGCTCCGCGTGCGGATTATGTATTAAACATGTGGAGATTGAGTATTAAAAACCATGATGAGTTCATGCATAAATGTAATCATAAATCAATCGTGTATTATCAATCCTATATTTTCAAGAATCCTTGTACCAAGAGGGAGGGTTTTCCACGCTGGGGTATGTTAGAATGACACCAGGGGGAGGAGGTGGAGGAGGAGGAGGCGGAGGCGGAGGAGGAGGTGGAGGAGGAGCACAAGGGTAAGCCCAAGACTCGTCAACCATGTTGGAATCCACCCTCTCACTCTTCGTTGGCTCCTGCAAGGTTCATTTCGACTGAAGAATTGCCCCGTTGGGCGACGATTGAAGCGTGCCGGAGCACCATATCCAGGACTTCAACGCCACCAGTCAATCGGATTGTTGCGTCTTGACGATCTTTAATCGTGCCAGAGCACCATTCCTGGGCTTTCAACTCCGCGAATCAATGTTTCTTGTGTGCCCTGGCAACTTGTTCCAAAGCGCCATTTCTGGGACGTTTGCCGTGAAAACCAGTGCAAGGTGTGTAATTTTTGAGAACGACTGTGCGCATCGCTGAGGCGAGAGCCACATTTTGAAAAGGAGCCGCCTTGAATCCGTGAAGCTCTCGGAGCCACATCTTGAAAAGGGCCCGCCCTCAATCCGTGAAGCTCTTGCACTTTGCCTCAAGCATCCTGCGGTGTTGTGTCCTCGTTTTGAAGAGACAGCACCCCGCGTCACTCACTCACTCCTCCTCCCGCTCCCTCCTCCCTCCTTCCATCCCTACCTCTGCCCTCTGCATGCCAACCGTTTCCGCACACCTCTGACACGTTTCGTTGGCCCCATTGGTAGCTCCAACGAGGGTCCCAGTGGCACCGTTCGCATGCGTCCCCGCCACCGATTTCGCTACACTTCTCACACGCTTCGTTGCCCCATAAGAAGCTCCACCGAGGGTCGCAGTTGCACCGTTCGCATGCGTCCCCGCCGCCCAATTCGGCACACCCCTCGCACGTTTCGTGGCCCTCTAAGGACGTAAAGAGCTCCACCGAGGGTCTCAGTGGCACCGTTCGCATGCGTCCCCGCCACTCATGTCGGCACACCCCTCACACGTTTCGTGGCCCCACAGGGAGCTCCAACGATGGTCTCAGTGGCACCGTTCGCATGCGTCCCCGCCACGCATGCTGGCGCACCCCTCATACGTGTCGTGGCCCTACATGGAGACCCAGCGAAGGTCCCAGTGGCACCGTTCCCGCCACGCATGTCGGCGCACCCCTCACATGTTTCGCGGCCCCAGAGGGAGCTCCACCAGAGGCCC